GCAGTGAGCTGGGTGAGGTTATTACTCCTGGCTCGAGTCTCAGTGCTCTGTCATCTGTGTGGACACCTACTGTGGTAACCGCTCCAACTCCACCCCAGTTACCTAACCTCCTTCCATGCCGTTGCGGTTCCTCCTCACACTCCCTCACCACACTCACACATGCACTCATACAAAACATTTCTCAAATCACATCTCAAGATATCACACCGTTGTGCATTCCGGCTTGTTAATATTTATACAGCTCACATTTCCATACTCGCGGTGCAGGCAGATGCGGAGCATATGGTTTGTTGTCTCGTAGTGAATGATTGAATAATCAGTTTGTAACCTTTTGTGGCTCGTTCTCCAGGTGTGTCATTCAAGCCCGGAGCGGATGTGTGCTGGGAAAAAAGGGAAATGAATAAATTACGCTTGGTAGATAGTTAGACTTCATGTGGAGAAGCAGGAGAGCTCATAATGACTTCTCTGTAGAGGAGTCTCCTACATTGCATTGGAGCATTTTCCCCCCTTCCCTGTTCTTGCTTTTCACACCCTTTCCACCCCCAGACTCTGCTGTAGTTTCTATTTTTGACACAACAAGGATGAGTAATAAATGGTTTCGCCAACAAGTGAGTGGATCGTATACAGTCTTTTCTGTATATTGGGCTGATTAGTGTTGTGCTGGCACTCCCTGGCAGCACACAGAAACATCCCACTCAGAGGCTACTCCCACGTCGCTGCTACAGCCAGGTCTGCAGCCAGTTATGTTTGCCAGCGGGAGAGGAAGTGACACTAGTGTAGGACACTGATGTTGCGGCCCAATTCTGGATTGGTTAAAGGATATATAGGCCACCATGCTGGGTTTCTTCAAAAGACCTGGGGATAAATGTGTGCTTTAATTTTCCATCTTAATCACAAGGCAGTCGCCCAAATCCAGTTTACAGCTCAGGATGTGATGTTAGGCATATGATTAAACTGGAAAATAAAAAGGAAATGGATTAAGGCATCTGTAATTGATCTTTTTTAAATAATAACCATGGATCACATGGTTTAACTCATGGAGGATTGACACCAGACTTTGCAGTTGTTCTCAGCTTTACTAAGGTTTTAAGCTTGTTGTTGTGGTGAAACTTTGTTGGTTGACCTCCATCGCTGTCGTCACTGTCGTTTTTGGCCACAGTGAGCAGCTGCTTTAGCTAAGAAAACATGATTTGTGCTGCCAGCCCGGCTCCAAATAAAAGAAAGACAAAGTTAACAAAAAGATGCAGATATATTTCATAGGAGTTAGAGGAGCCCAAAAACAGAGCAAACATGCAACCAATCACGTACAGGTTTCCCACATCAACATTACAATGTAAGGGTATAATCACTAAAACAATCTTAAACGGTGCATCTTCAGTTATGACCTCATTCTGCACATGCCGCAAAACCTAAATCTGATTTAAACAATGTGCAAAATCATCACAAGTCTCCAGAATCACAAAACCTCCCACAATCTTCTGCAGCAAAAGAAACTGACGAGCTTTACCAGTGCTGCTCTGTCTTTGTGACCACCGTAATGAACCAGGGCACCAGTACACACAGGGTTTCTGTGATGTATGTACAGATGCCGTAACTACGCCAACACTACACGCACACGTATGTCACTGATTCATCACCGTCATTGATTTCCCTCCTACAAACTGTAAAGCATCTCTCTTTACACATGTCTTTTCTTTCTTCTTCTTTTTCGCTACCATCCAATATATCCTGCTCCCATGAATTTCCCAGAGCTCAGGAGATGAAAAAACTATCTTTACTCAGTTGGATCTCTTTCTTCTTTGTTTACCTCTCGCTTCAGTCTTTCCCTTTCTTCCCTCATTCAGTTTTCACCTCTTCAAGACAAAGTCATCTCTTTGTAAACTTGTCCCTATATTCCCTCCCCCCATATTTATTCTCTCTTGTCAGTCTTCAGCAATGACGTCTCGTATATATTTTATATTTTGGTACATCGGTTACTGTCCTCCATCCGTTTCCTTCTCCCTCATCTGTTGTCTCCTGTCCATCTCTAGTCCACCTGTCTGTCTGTGTGTCCCTCTCCTCCTCTTCCTCCCTATAGATGTCTGTCACATCATCTTTCTCTCTGTCACCTGCCCATCTCCAACAAGCTAGGATGACTTCCTCTCTTTATAACAGCTGACATGTGGCAATTTCGCTTTGTTAATGACAAGAAATGTGCAAATTACCTCTCCGGATGTTTCACTGCCAATCAGACACTAACAAGCTGTGAGTGCTTGTGTGTGTGTGTGTGTGTGTGTGTGCGTGTGTGTGTGCGTGTGCGTGTGCGTGCGTGTGCGTGCGTGTGCGTGCGTGTGCGTGCGTGTGCGTGCGTGTGTATGTGTGCATCTCTGTGTACATGCTCGAGTCTGTTGGTATGAGAGAAAGTTGGACCAGTGCAGCATGAGATGCAGTCTTCTTCTGACTTTTAATCATCTGAAATCTTCTCACAAGGATAGTGTAGAGATTGGCTTACCTTTTCATCTCTGGTTTTATTAATGAGCCCTAATTATAGTCGCTGCAGAATAAATGATGGGTGAACTGCTGCTCACTTTTGCTCTCCCGCTCACACGTCCCCACTTCTGACACGAGTTTCTACCATATTGTATCCCTCGTCACTCCGTCTCCCTCCCGCCCCTCCATCTGCGCTGAAAAGCTCTTTTGTTCAATTTTTAATTACCTTCTCATTTAAAAGTGCTCTTGACATCCGAACGCAGCACGTTTGGAGAGGCCGCCTCTGTGATTGGTGCGAAATTGGATAACCGCCTTTTTGTATCCCTGTCAATCTTCTTTCTGAGATCAGACCTTTCACTTCACAGCGGCACATGCACCGCACTCGCTGCAGTGAGCGCTGAAAGACAAAATATTTAACGTGTCAACAAACAACCGTTTCTCCTGTTTGCATCATCTTTATTTGTTTTAGTGGAGTTGTGTTCCCTCATTTTTTGGCTCGACAAAAGGGAGCAAAAATAACACAATATGGTGTTAAGATCATTGTCAAATATCTACACACGTAGTCGTGGTCCCTGGTCATGTTTTCACCTTGATTCTCATGTTTGTATCTCCTTTCTAGTTTTGAATTGAATACATTTTTAAGGATTCAAGACACAAACATTGATGTATACTGCATTACAACTGTAGTCTGTAGGAGGTATTTTCTCTATATGTTTTAGATATGTCTTTGCAATCACTTGAAGTTTCAGGCTGGTGAATTACTGCTAAATTATTCTGGTGCAACAGTTTAGAAAAGGTCGTGAAAACAGATGTCAAAGCAGATGAACTGAATATATCTATAATAAACATGCTTTGCTTTAAATATCTGGAGTAACCATTAAAATGCTCTATATTCTTGAGATTCATTTTTTTCTTTTTACCTATGCACGTTACCTCTGCAAATCCAACAATACTGCTACTAACACAGATTAGACATTTTGTTGTCTTCACTCAATGGTTTTAATGGACTTAGCTAATAAAAATGCTTTCATTTAGCGTGGAGTTGTTTTTGTTGAGGAATATATATGTCTACAAAGTGTTCCGCAGATGTGATGCATCTCCTCTGCATTGAAAAACTGATGTCCTGCTGCACTTTTACACTTATTGCATTGTGCTCATGTGAGAGAGTGGTTTAATTTCAGCTCGTATACGGCTGCTGAGGGAATCCTCTCCCTCCCGGCTCTGTGCGATTAATTTCGGCTGATCCATGTTTATGGAGGGAAACACTCATAAGCACCAAATCAGCAGAGGACACACATCACACTTGCAGAGGGTGAAGCTGTGCTCATATTAAGTTTCTCGTGCAGTGTTTGCTGAGATATAAGTTCTGTCATGTGCATTGATGTCTTATGGTGTGCAATTTTAAGCATTGCATGAGCTGATCTGATCTGAAGGCTGGAAGAGGTTAAATGTGAATTTATTTTGGAGCGAAGCACAGAAAATATTTTCTTCTCGGCCTCTTTAGTGTGTTCCAACTGGATAAGAGAGCAGGCGGCCTTTCCTGAGGTGTGACACAGACGGGCATCTATGATATCTGCCATGTAGAGCTAACGGCTAACACAGATACTAGAGGAGCTGGTGATGCATATAAGCCAGTGTGTGTCACAATCAGCCCCATCTTCCCCTTTTGAGAAACTTCTAACAATGCTGGTCTTGGCTGGTGTTTTGTACATGTCTGCACCACTATATTATTCTTGCTGTTTCACAACCAATCCAACAGTGAACAATAGTGAGCGGAGACTGTTTTGTCTTGGCAGGACTCATATCAGGTTATTGCCCCACTTTTTTATTTTTGAGATACTTTATCTCTCGTGAGAAAGAGCCTTTATAAACATCCCTCTTATCAGCGCCTGTGCTGGCCCTTGGTGTCTTATCTCTTATCAGGCCATGCTCCTCATTGGATGTCACAATACACAGGACGCTTGCTGTTTGCCAGGCCTCCTCATGACTGGACTGCTTCTTTGAAGAAAACCAGAGAACCAGGAAATATTTTTCTTAAATCAAAGCGGCTGCAGAGGTGTGAGGCATGAGACATGTGATTCTTTTTGTAAAGCTGAAGAGAGGAGGGGGGGAAGAGGGATTTTGGGTGATTTACGGCTCTAAATGTCCCCTGTTCTGTGACGGTGCCAGGAGTTCAATATCTGTATCATTTAGGGATGTGGGACTCGTAAGGAAAGGTCAGTGAGCCTCTCGGCTTCAGGAAGTGTGGAGTTTTATTTCTCTGCCTCCTCACGATGCTGCTGTGACTGTTGTGCTTTGTTCTAGGGGGAGAATAAAAAGAGCATGATTGCTATTGACTCTTTGTAGCAGGACCTCAGAGACTGAGCTCTAATCCTGGCACTCACTATTTCAGAAGTTAGACAGAGACAAGAAAAACTGTAGTTGTTTAAACACTTTAATGAGGTCAGCCTGTCTTACATCTTCTATTCTGTTGTCACTTTGGCCGTTTGTGTTTCATCTTCTTCACGCAGTCTTCTTCTTCCTCTCCTCAGGTGGAGTGGCTAAAGAACGAAGAGGTTATTGATCCCGCCGACGACAGAAACTTCTACATCACCATTGACCACAACCTGATCATCAAGCAGGCGCGTCTCTCCGACACGGCCAACTACACCTGTGTGGCGAAGAACATTGTGGCCAAGAGACGCAGCACCACCGCCACAGTTATTGTCTACGGTAAAATATAAAATCACACTGAACATCCAGGTCTCACATCTCATGACCCAGAAAAAACACTCATCCTCCTTATTGGCCACATGAGAGATTAGCAGTCGGCTCAACTTCGAATGAAACATATTTCAAAGTCACTCTGCATAAAGTGAACCCCTCTCTCTCTCTCTCTCCCCTGGCTGGCAACATCGCCTCATTCTGTTCCTGCCGGAAGGTGTGCGAACAAGTTGGAGATTTGTGATTTTTCTGAAACGCTAGCAAGGTGCTGATGTGGCTGAGCCGTACTTAAAGGCACCCCTGCTGTGTATTCACACAGACTCACCCACTGTCTCCCAACATAAACCAAACACGACTGTCATTGCGCTGCACAGCTGTGAAGTTAAAACTTCCACGTCTGCTGGAGGCTACTCGAGACAGGAGAAGTGACACATGAAACACATGCTCCTTTGAACCTGGGAGATTGTTTTCCTGTATGAAGCGACTACTTGTCTTTAAGGTTCAGTAACTGAGGCTGCCGTGGAGTTCGTCCTGCACGTGATAGGACACCTCATGATACTGCAGATTTACTTTTTGAGGGTTTAAGTAATATCACAACCACATGGAGGTTTATGAGCAGCTCAGTCAGACTGAATGAAGTGAAAATACCTTGTTTTTTTTGTTAACGTTATAGTGGAACTTCACCAACCAATTGCCTCTCCCTGGATTTTCAAAGTGCTTTTAGAACGCAGTGCTGGGCGGCAGGGCTCAGACTTACCTACAGAGCCGTTTGAATTTCTGTGTGAGAGGATGGGAGACGTCTCTGGGATTTAGTTTTGGCATAGATTTGAAAATGAGCACAAATTTCCAGATTCCCACTAGCGGCCCATCTTTGAAAAACAAATATATATAAATATCATGATGTAGAGACGTCCCAAAATGTAAAGTCTACGTTTTTAACCCCTAAATGTCGATAAGATAGATAATGTGATTTTAAAACCAACATGTGTGTCATGAAAAACTGTCACATAATCTAGTTTACAGCTCAAAAAGTCTGCAATAGCACTTTAAGTTGGATTTAACTGAGCAATGAGGATAATGTGGCCATTTGGAAACCAATGTAAGAGTGATGTGTAGACACAGGTTGCACATTTAGGGAAAAGGATCTCTGTCTTCAAGGTTTTCCTGTCAGGAACACAGTCTATTTCAACTAAGTGTTAAAAAACCTGCTCTCATGTTGACTCATCTGTTTGTGCTGTCCTTGCTTCTTGATCCCCCTTTTACAAAATGGGACACTTATGTGCTGCTGAGCTGTATGTGAAAAAGCACATCCCCACAAAGCTGTATGAGAAGCCCAAAAGGATAAGTAAGAGTTGTGTCTAGCAATAAAACAGTGAGACAGATAGGCAGTGGTTTCCAGCCCGAGCCACTGCAAGGACACTGGAAACAGGAGCGCTAGCTGGCAACTAAAGGAGAAAAAGACATGGAAAGAGGGAGAGAAAAGATAGAGCCATAATCCATGGAGGAAAAGAGAGCAGACAGTAAGGAAGTGTGGGGGTTTTGGCGGTCTTCCCCATGAGTTCAATATTTCGGGCTTCACTCGTAAGCATGTCACATTTGAAAGTCAGAGGCTCTGGGGGGCCCCGGCTCCACCATCTCAAAATGCCACAGACTTGTTCTCAGCCACAAGCCCTGGTGTCACTCTCCACTGGATTTAGCCGCTGACAGAGATGGATGAGAGAGGAAGGGAGGCATTAGGAGGAATCAGTGAATGGAAAATGCGCAGCAATCGGACCAGAATTTACTGTCTGCCTGCATGGCACAGTAACGACCTGAGATTTCAGGGTCAAAACACAAAAAAATAAAATCCGCAGTGTATATTTAACAGTGGGTAAATGATTCAGATTACAGTTAACGATGTTCCAATAATTCTCACTAATGACAAAACAAACAAATGTTGTAATTTTATTCTGAGTGTTTATGCTTTCACTGCATTTTTATTTAATATTTCATTTGTTAAATGTCGTTTTGTGTTTTAATGTAGTCTATATTTTATATTTGCTTTATGCCCCTTCATTACTTTATAACTTGTTTTTTAAATCGTGCAATATAAGTGAAAGCTGAGAAAACATATAACATGTTTTATAACCATGTATTCCAGTGAATGGCGGATGGTCCACATGGACGGAGTGGTCGGTGTGTAACAGCCGCTGTGGCCGTGGTTACCAGAAACGCACACGCAGCTGTACCAACCCAGCGCCACTCAACG